CAAGAAAAGAACCAAGCTCAGAGAACCCCAAGGACTCCACAGTTCAACCCTGAGCTACACATATTCACCTCCATTGTTTTAATTATTGTAAGCTGCCTTGAGTTTTTACACAAAGAGAAATGTGGGATATAATTTTAATAATAGAACAAAAATAAAATAAAGATTTGTGAGACCACAAGTAGGGTCTTCCCAGTTGATCTTAAAAATCCACATTGGATGGTATCAGAGGAAGCAATCTTCTAGCTAGCAAGTTCTGAGCTGTTTATGACTTCCCAGATAGGTTGTAGCTAAAGCAGCACTTTCATGCAGGCTGTGACAGAGAAAGTAACAGAGGGCCATCAAAACAGCCTTCGGTAACCCAATCTTTCATGGATTTGTAGTTGAAAGGCAATGTCTTATGCCTCAACCTGATACAGGAATCCAACCAATTGCAGATGATTCCACCAGCCCCAGTAACCAAGCCACAGATCAGCTATGAAGACCAGATTTATGTAACACTATAAGCAATGGTGTGGCTTGTTTGATTTCAACTCGTGTGTCGCATGATTATGATCTGTAAAACTGTAACTTAATGTGTTGAGTCAGCTCAGCTAGCTCTGATGTATGCACCAAGCCAGGATTAATCAAACAATGGCTTAGTGAAATATGTGAGTCCAGTTAATGGTGGATATAGCAGTTCTAGCCTACAGTTCCACCAGCCATACAGACAACTGCCATAACTTTACAAAAATCTTTTCAGCCGCTTATTTGGTATTGGATTAGGGAGCTGAGAAACACTGTCTCTGTAGCATCAAATCAGCTTTCAATCTCATGCTTGAGTCAGAAATCTTTTCTCTTGGTAGGACTTAAGTTAGCTCACATAAGTCCTTTGAAATAAGAAAATCTGACCCACCAAAGAAAGCTTGTCACAAAGGAGATAGAAGATTCAACTAAGTTTCTCTGATGACAGGTGGATGCTATAAGTAAGACTCTTGGTCTTTGCCAGGAGAATTCCAATGACTTGAAGAACCGTGAAAGCAACATTTGAGGACAAGTGGACTGTGATTTTGGATACTATCAGCATCTTAGGCTGCAAGCTGAAGGAAAGAATTGCTACCTCCTAGACCAATTAATTAATTCAATTTGTAAAACCACCCAATTCAGAATGAAACATACCCCGCATGATGAGAGTACTGTTGAGTACGCCCCATCAGTTAGCCCAAGGCCGGGGGGGGGGGGATTAAAAAATTTTTTA